AATGGTGGTAAATGGGGGTCGCTTGGTGGAGCCGGAGCTGGATAGTCGGATACTGGAGGGTGGAGGTCGGGGTGTTGAGCTGGCGGACGCTGGAAAACGATAGGTTGAAATGGAGTAGGATGTTGGAGGTTGGAGGTTGGAGGCTGGAATGTTGCAGGTTGGAGGCCAAAGCTGGGGTCGGAGCCGGAGTTGAGAGCAGGAGTCGGCTTGATGGTCACCACGTTGCCGTAGGTGTCTGGCGAGGTCCTCGGGTGACAGATCTCCATGAGGTAAGACGCGTCGTAAACCTAAAGGGGCATCTCCAGGAACACTCACATATTTGCCCGTGCCGCCCCCTGCAGACCCAGGGTGCACGGGGACAGTCTGGGGTCGGAGGTCAGAGTTGGGAGTGGGAGTCGGAGAAACAAAACTCTGTCTTGAAGCCAATGTCGCCTCTGTATTCGCCAATGGTGAAGCGCTTGGGGGGCCAGTGACCCCTGAAGTAGGGTTCTGTCCTGTGCCGTTCCTGCTGGCACGGCTCCGTTTGGAAAATCACCCACCATCTGAAACGTATCCTCTCGGAGGCCCGTGGGTCGGGGTAGGCGGTGGGAGGTGGGAAGGAGGAAGGTATTTGGGGTCGGTAATTGACCGCATGCTGTCCTGAGTCGGATCGCGCCCTTGACGTTGGAGTCGCGGTGGTCAGAGCTGGAGTTGAAGCAGGGGTCGGAATCGGAGTGCGACACTTTGCCAAGAGCTCATCTTCGGTAGTCGAACGGAGCAGCGGTGTTGACGGCCTCACTTCTGCAGCACTGCCGCTGGAGTCGACGATGCTGGAAAATGCAGGCGTCGATGGATAACAAAATTGAGAAAGGTGTAATTCGGAGTTGGATGTCCGAGGTGGGGTGTTGAAATCGTATCGATCGAAATCTTGGCGTGCAAGATGCCGTACATATTCCGTACACGTGCACATGTCGGTAGTTTTGCCCGTGCTGTCCACGTCCCAAAATCCAAATTATGTTGCTGTTAAAGTCGAATGTGGAGGTGGAAGTGAAAAGTCGAATGGGCGATGGAAGTTGATGGATGCAGGTGGAGGTGGAAGTGCAACGTCGGATACGTGAGGATCGTTAGTTGGAGGTTGAGGTCGCAAGATGCAAGTCAAAGGTTGCAGTCGATACCTGCAGGTTAGATTCCTGGAGCTGGGGTTGAGAGCAGGAGTCGGTATAACGATCATCTCCGTGTCGCTGTAGTCAGGCGAAGTCCTCTGGCGACAGATCTCCTGTGACCGAGGTAAATCTCGTCGCAAAACAAATGGGAAATCTTTGGGGACGTCCAAGTATTCGCACCTACCTCGCCCTGCAGACCCAAGGTAATCGGTGAAAATCTGGAGTCGGAGGTCGAAATTATGAACAAAAGTCGGAGAATCGAAACTCTGTCTTGAAACCAGCGTCGTCCTTGTATCCGCCGATGGTGAAACGTAAGGGGGGGCGGGTGACACCTGAGGTAGGGTTCTTTCTTGGGCCGTTCCTCCAGGTATGGCTCCTTTGGGAAATACGTCCTCCAATTGAGACATGTCCCCTCCGGGGCCCATGAGTCGGGGTAGGCGGTGGGAGGGAGGGAGGGAAAGGGATATCAAGCGTGGGTGATTGGTCACATGCTGTTCTGAGCCGGATCGAGTCCTCGACGGTGTAGCTGACGGGGTCGGAGCTAGAGTGGTTGAGGTGGAAGCCGGGGTCGGAGTTGAAGTCGCAGGTTGATATTGGGGTGTCGGAGTCAAAGGTCTGACGCACTGGAGGGAGATGGGTAGTTTTGCCCCGGTAACCTGTGACGTCGACGTGGTATCTGCAGGTAGGATAATGTATGCACTCGTCGGTGGAATCGGCTACGGTGCTGATCTGCGTCTCCACCAGCACCTGCCGGACATCCTTCTTTGAGCTTGTTCCCTTTGACCCGCCTATCGGATTGCCCTTCATGCCGTTGGCTTCCCGCGCCAGTAGCGTGTCACATTTGTTCATCAGTTCCTGAAGCTGAGAATGATCTTGTATTTCTGGCCATGCCTTCCAGGTTTCCGCCCAATCCCGTTTCAAGCTATTGCCATCGATGGTGATGGTGAGCGCGAGTTTTTCCTTCCCACATGCACTTGATAAGGATTCCCGTCCGTAACTTTAATGGTGCACGGGAGTTGCATCGTCGCCTTCAGCATGCACTTCAAACCGAAGCAGAAGTTCCGGGCGGCTCGGTCCGTTGGCGCTCGATCTGAAGTCGCTCACACGTTTTTGCCGCAGCGTGTCAATTTCAGGCTCCTGATGAGAGCAACAGCCGTGTCGCGATCCAGCATCGAATCAAACTCCACGAACAAAATATGATTGGAATCGCCCTTTGTGTACATATTCCGTGGGATAGGGCCGTCGTTCGTCGTTTTTTTTCTCGTATGGATTCTGCGGCGGTGTTGTTCATGTCGAAGTTCTCCAGATTCCCGAATCCCGCAGTCACTGCACGTTTGCCGTGGACGTGGTAGGCGGTCGCTGCTGTAGTGTTGCCAAGAGGTCCTGGGAGCCTTTTCCCACGAAGGCTGGCCACCTCGCGTTCCAGCTCGTACAGTTGTTCCCCAATCGTGGAAGTCATGCTGTGGGCTGCTCCCGATGTTGCTGATGAGGGCCTCGAAACTGTATGTTTTGCCTGAACGGCTGCCATGCGAGAAGTGAGGTCGTCAATCGATTGTTGCAGTGGTTTCAGATCTGCGTGCGATACTCCGTGTTGCTTGATCGCGGTAATGTCGGTCCTGATCGGCTCCAGTTGCTCCTGTAGCATGCGTGACAGCAGACCTGCTGTCAAGGGTGCATTGTCCTCAGCTGCGAGACGTTGTCGGAGTAGCGCCTGCTTTTGCTTGACGTCGTCGTTCACAATTCCGACGCCACTTGCGGCACTTCCGGCTGCGTCATCCAACCCGTTCATTCCGTGCAGTGGGCTCCGAATCTTCTGTTGCTGTGTCTCTGGCCGCGTTGGAGTACTGAGAATATGACGTTCCGGCATCCCCGCCCAGAGTGGTGGCACAAGAGAGCGGGATAGAGTGTCAGAAATAAGCGGGAGTAAGATGGTGTAAGATGGTGTAAGATGGGTTTGAGCCAGGCAACCGCCTTGAGCCATCAAGTCTTCCCCATCATCTTTCTCCATCACCTGGTGTTCCTTTCCCTCCTGTTGCTGCTGTTCCTCCTCCTTCTGCTCCTCCTCTTTCTCCTCCATCCTGCTCCCAATCATCGTCATCATCAGCAGAATCATCATCATCATCATAATCAGCATTATCAGCAGCATCAGCATCATCATCAGCTTCAGCATCATCAGCATCATCATCAGCATCATCAGCATCAGCAGCATCATCATCAGCATCATCAGCATCAGCATTAGCATCAACAACATCATCATCAGCATCAGCATCAGCGTCATCGTCAGCATCATCATCATCATCATCATCATCATCATCAGCAGCAGCAGCAGCAGCATCATTATCATCGTCTTCAGCAGCATCATCATCACTATTATCATCATCATTCCCGCCGCCTTCTGAGAGCAGCCCTTCTCCTTCTCCCCCCCTCGCTCGCCGCCGACCGACTCTCGTGGGACGTTTGTGGGACGGACGTCGCTCCGAGGCCCGAAAACCATCACTTCATTAATTTTGGGCCCCAGGGCCCACTGAGGCCCCAGGGGCCCCAGATTAGTGAAGTGATGTTTTTTCCCACGTAAGGACCCCGAAATTCATCACTTCACTAAACCGAATCCAGGACGATCGCCCGCTTGCTGACCAGGCCCTCCGGTTGCAGCGCCCCTGCAGAGTTCGGAGGGGCCGCGCGCAGAAGTGCGTACCCCCCGCCGGAGTGCCTTCCACGACGGGCCCCTGGCGTAGACCAGGAGGAGGAGGAGGAGGAAGAGGAGGAGGAGGAGGAGCTGGAGGAGGAGGAGCTGGAGGAGGAGGAGGAGGAGGAGGAGGAGGGGCACTCTGCGCCACTGGTGGGGTCCAAAACCCGGATAGCAGGGCGCCCGAAGGGCGTGGGAAGGCCTGGCGAAGAATTCTGGAAGGGCTTGGAAAAAGCTCCCGAGGGACCTTCTGGACAGTTTCTGGACACGCGTATTCGGAAACGCTTAGGACAGATTTCCTGGGACACGTTGCAGCTTCAAGCTGGGCGCTGCGAGGTGTTCGAATTGAAGCCAGAAGGACCTCCAGGGCTACCCTGCGGCCCCGGCTCCTTAATCTGAAACCCCTTTAGCTCTCCACGAGCTATCCGGGATGCTTGTGTAGTCCAATACCCAGATGACAGCGCAGTCCAAAGCGCGCGAAACGCTTGTAGGAAACACTTGGCAGGGCGCTGGAAAGCATGCCTGGGAGGCTCAAAAGCTTGAACAAAAACGCCTGCCGGTGACGCTTGCCAGGACGATGGAAAGTGTGCCTGGGGAGCTTGCAAGCTTCCGAAGGCGAGCTTCGAAGGAGTTGCGATTGAGCTGCGGAGAGGCTTGAGGCCCGCGCATTGGGAACGAGCAGGAAAACGCTTCTCGGGACACGCTGCGACCTCAAGCAGGGCGCTGCGAGGATGCCTGACTGGGAGCCTTGGAGAGGAGCTGGCGCAGCCCTGCCTCCCGGCGTCTACAGTGGGGGCGCGTGCCAAGAAACCAGTTGGATTTTGCCAGGGTGCCCTGGGTTTCTTGGACTTTGATGAAACAATCAGATCTTGACGATTTTCGATCGACGCATGTGGATTTTCACTGAACCAATCGCGTACTTCAGGGTTGGGTTTCTTGCGGAGGTTTCTTGTGGCCGAGCCCCCCCTGTAATCCGGAGCCCCCTCGGCTCTCCCAGCAGCTGTCCGGGCGCGGAGCTCGTGCTCGCGCGCCTCCTCTTGGGCGCGCTGCGGGAGGGGCGGGAGGAGCGGGGGGCGAGGCAGGGAGGACGGGGGCGCGAGGGGAGGGAGAGCGGGGCGGTCCTCCTCGTCCCCCCCCCCTTCGTCCTCCTCGCGCGTCGGTGGCACACCGAGGCCATGCTGGACCCCAAGGGCAACACGGCCGTCTACGCGTTGTACGCCTACGCACGGACCTTCCCTCCCCTCGCCGTGGCGGGGCGGAGGAAAAGAGGGATGGAGGAGAAGCAGGAGGGAAGGATGCGGGCGAGCACCAGCAGGAGAAGGAAGAGGGAGATGGGTGGGAGGAGGGGGAGGAGGGGGAGGAGCAGGAGGAGGAGGAGGAGGAGGAGGAGGAGGAGGAGGAGGAAGAGGAGGAGGAGGAGGAGGAGGAGAGGGAGGAGAAGGAGGAGGACTAGTGTAATCCCAAGAGTCATCAACGATGTTGGAACCAACCCTCCCTCCAACCCGCCTCTTCATGGGCCCCTACAACGGTTTATTTCCACTGAGGGAACTGCTTCGTTGGGAGTCAACCGTTTGAAGATCCTGGAGCATGCCAAAACATGTTCTCGGCACTCCAACGCCACGGGACTTCCCGACTGTTGCGTCTTGACGAGCCTGGATCGCGCCAGAACGCCATTCCTGGGACCTCAACACCGCGAACCAACATAACTGCTGCACCCTCATATTCGTGAACATTTCCAAAACACCGTTCCTGGTACGCTCATCATGGGAACCCGTGAAACTTTTGATATGTTCGGCGCTAAGGCGAGATCCACATATTGAAAAGGAGCCGCCCTAAATCCGTGAAGCTCTTTGCAAATCTGAAATACGAATGTGCGCGGCGCCAAGCAGAGAGACACATTTTGAAAACCATTCGCTTTCAATCCGTGAAACTCTTGCAACTGTTCAAGACGAGTGCATGCGGCGCTAAGGCGAGAGCCACATGTTGGAAACGACCCGCCCTCCATCTGCGAAACTGTTGACAAGCTTTAAGCTTCAGGATCATTACTGGTGACGAAGTCTCAGGCGAAACGCCCGGCCCGCCCTGAAAACTTGCCTCGGGGTGCGACCAGGAGAAGTTATTTACAAGGAAAACGAATGAAGGAGGAGGAGGTGGAGGAGGGGGAAGAGGAGGAGAAGGAGGAGGTGGAGGAGGGAGAGTAGGAGGAGGACCCCACTACCACATCCCACCGTCGTCATAGTCTTGAATGGTTCTGACGTGCCTAGTCGTTCGAATTGTTGACGCTTCGCGTATACCAACCAGCTTTCCATCTCTATCGTCCCGATCGTCGGGGCAGTCACCGCCGCGCTTGCCACCCGTCTGCCAGCGATCTTCGCGCCATCCGTCACTCCACTCGCCCTGCCAGCTGCCCCAGGTGTTCCAGGAGCTCGACGCGCGGTCCCGCCAGTCGGTCTGGTGGTAGCTGCCTTTGCCCCTGTCGTCTGTACGGGGTGTACGGGACGTCTATACGGGGAGGCTCCGCTGGAGAGACTGAGCCCACTCCTCGCTCTCTCCCCGCCCCCAGCGCCTAGCGCCACCACCTGCACCTCTCTACACAATGTTTGCGGCCCTCGGCCGCCTTCTTTCTCCAACCGTGGGGCCGCACCACCGCCCCCCCTCCCCTGGACGGCACTCCTCCTACCTTTGCACCTTGAAGTGCCGCTCAGTAATACCATCTGCACTCTGCGTGACAGCGCGCATCCTGCAGACCCACAGGCCACTGGCTCCGCTGCCTTACTCTACCGGTGGCCCCTGCACTCTCGCCGCAAGGTTTCCTCTTTCCTGGCTACGTTTCACACCTGACATCCTCCTGGCGCTGCCTTGGCCGCGCCGCGGGCCCTTCAATTGCGGCGCTCTGCCGCCCTCTTCCGGTGTGCGCACCTCCTGCCTTTGGATCCAGGTGCGCACCTCGGTAATACCGTCCACAGCCCACCCGCTGTTGGACTGGCGGCCTCCGGGCCCTCCTGTAGGTCTTTCACCGCCAGGCGTGCCCTGGCCCTTGTCTGCGGACGCTGGCTTGCCTGTCCACAGGCCCACTCCCTGGATCTCGTAAAAGCTGAACGGCCTTCCGCCGTGACCCTGGATCAAGTGGCTCTGAGGGATGCGTCTTGGGTATATGACGGTCTCGTCCCTCGGGTGCTATCCGACTCGGTTTGGGTAGCGCTGAGACACTTTGGATGTGCACACGCCACGTGGTCAACCGTGTATCGTGCACTACGGCGCCCTCCCACTCGATGGATCTCGGCTGACGCATCTCAGTTGTGGAAGGTTCTCCTGCCATCTTGCTCCACACCCTGGATGCGCGTTCTGGCGTCGCGACATGGATTTGCCGTCAGGATTTCCCGCTGGACTTACGTCCCCAGTCAGTCTGTGTTACCCGTCAGACTTCCTGGATCGTTGTCCTCGGGAACTCTTAAATGCTGAACGGCCTTCCGCCGTGACCCTGGACCGAAGTGGCTCTGAGGGTTGCGTCTTGGGTATATGACGGTTTCGTCCCGCGGGTGCTTTCCGACTCGGTTTGGGTAGCGCTGGGTCACTTTGGATGTGCACACGTTACGCGACCGCGTATCGTGCACTACTGCGCCCCTCCACTTGATGGATCTGGGCTGACGCATCTCAGCTGTGGAAGGTTCTCCTGTCATCATGCTCCACACCCTGGATGCGCGTTCTGGCGTCGCGACTCGGGGTCGCCGTCAGGATTTCCCGCTGGACTTACGTCCCCAGTCAGTCTGTGTTACCCGTCAGACTCCCTGGATCGATGTCCTCGGGAACGTTCCTTTGTTCGCATCTGGACTTCTGGGAACGCCTCACGCGCCATTTTGGCTGCGCTTGGTCTCCTCGGTGCCTGTCCTCAGGCTCCTTGGATGCACCGTTGCATGCCCGTTCTGGGGCTGTCTCAGGCTCCCTGGACTGCACGTCGGCTCTACCGCCCTGGGCGCTGCCCCCCCCCCCCCGCCGCCTGATCCGCGGCCCCCGCGCGCGCTCGGTAATTTAGTCGCGGCCGTAGCCCGCCCGCGACCTCCCGCCGTTGGCGTTTCCGCCTTATGCAGAAACGATTTTCAGGTGAGTTGAGGTGATGGAAACAGGTGGCGGGGGAAGCTGTCATATACCCCAAGAGAAGGAGGATGGAGGAGGAACCGTCGTCGTTGGAGGGGGAGGAGGAAGGGAAGGGAAGAGAAGAGAAGGAAGAGGAGGAGGATAAGTAGGAGGAGGACATGGAGCAGGGCGAGGATGAGGACGAGGAGGAGGAGGAGGAGGAGGAGGAGAATGAGGAGGATGAGGAGGAGGTTGGGGAGGGAGAAGAAGGAGGAGAGAGGAGGAGGAATAGGTGGATGAGAAAGAGGAAGTGGATGGCGAACAGAAGAGCCAGAAGCTTCTTCAATGCCTCTCAGAGTCTCCTCGGATGTGTCTTGGAAGCTGTTTGGAGGCCTCTTGGAGCGTTTTGGGGAGCACCTTGGCGGGCTCAGGGCTGTCTTTGAGCGTCTTGGGTGCCTCGGGGATCAACTTGAGGCTTCTTGGGGGTTTATTGGGAGACTCTTTGAGGTTTCTTGGGCGCCTCTTCGGACGTCTGGGCGCCTCTTGGGGCCCTCTTTGGCGCTCTTGGGAGCTTGAGGGGCGGTTTGGGGGCCATCTTGGAAGGCATTGATCAAGACAGAGGGGAGCTCCAATCAGCACTGCCCCTCGGGAGCCCCAACAATCGCTTCTTGGGGCGTTCTTGGGGCGCTATTGGAGCGCTCTTGGGCGCTCTTGGGGCCGTCCTGGGGCTCTCTTGAGCATCTCTTGGGGCCTTATTGGGCCATCTTGAGGCTTCGGATGGCCAGTGGAAGCGAACACGCGAGACGGCAAAACATTGATGCTCCTTAGGTGTCGGAAGGAATTGGGCCTCTTCGGGGCCTCCTTTGGGAGCTCTTTGGCCACTTGGAGCCGTCTTGGCACGCTATTTGGGCCTCTTGGAGCATCCTGGGAGCCATCTTGAGGAATCTTGGGCTAGATTAAGCCATCATGGAAGTCATATTGGGCTCTCCGAGGCCCTCTTGAAGCCGTCTTGGGCCATCTTGGACGCTCCAACTACTCGCGGAGACCCCCGTCCAGGTCCAGGGGAGGGGGTAGGGGGAGGGGTCAAGTTACCCACCCGCCCGCAAGCCGCCCAGCTCACTCCCACCCGCCCTCCCCAACACACAAGTAACACCCGAGCGTGAGCATGTTCAACGGTCGTCTTCAGATGGGCAGCTACGGGGAACCAAAGCCGACCCCAGGTGCGCGACGCTTGGGCGAGGTGCGCCAGGCGTGGCAGGGGCGCCACGCGCGCCAGGCACACCTGGGGCCCGAGCGTGCCAGGCACGCCTGGTGCGCCAGATGGGCCACGTGCTCCGAGTGCGCCAGGTGTGCCGCACACTGCAGCCTCGCCAGGTTCGCCACGTTCGGGGCACGTGCAAAGTGCGCCAGGTACGCCTGCGCACGTGACAGCACACATCGGGAAACATGTCGGCCTCCACCATCCGATGCGCATCATTGTGTCTGGTGGCCCTGAGCACAGCAGTCCACGCGCCACCAGCCCCGCCGTGCCTGTCAACAGCCACTTGACAGTGATCGCGGGATGGCCGCGCATGATCCAGATTCAGCCGCGAGGTGCGTGTTGTATTGTTTTTGTTTTGTCAGGGATGGTAGCCTTGCGCGCAACAGGAAATATGCTGACACCCTCGCCGTCCCTGTCAAAAACTATACAAAGTGCTCGCGGGCCTCTCGAACATGACTCAAGACTTTGGCCCAAAGTGTACTTGATACTGTTCTGTTGAAAGGGATGGTTGGGGGGCCGCATCGGGGTGGTCGCGCATGCTCCAACTGTGGAGGCAGAGTGCCTTTTTTTGACAGGGATGGTGGGTGGGTGGCCCGCATGGGGTCGACATAGTTCCGGGCTGGCCGCCGGCCGGGTGGGGGAGGGGGTTCATATTGATAGGGAACAGTGAAGAACCCCTCCCCGAAGGGGAAGGAGGGAGTTGGAAGAGGAAGCTCCCTACAAAACCTGCGCCCAGAGGGCTGATGGGACTACTTCAGCTTTGCGTCCAGGCGGGCTGGGCGGCACCTAATCACCGCAAATGCTCCATCGAAGTTCAATATTGAAGCTATGATGCTGTCCATCCATGCGCAGACAATCTCGGATTCAACTCCAGGGCATCCCCCCTTGCGGGCAGTCCGCCGCCTAGACAGAACAGCGCGCCACCATGGCGCCTTCGTCTCAGCCTCTCAAGTTTAGACGTTGCTTTGCTCCTCTCTGTCGTCTTCCTTCCCTGCTGTTCTTGCAACGCCGATGTCAGTTGGATTAATCCCCAGACCGTCGGTGAGGGCGTCAAGTTGCGCCAGCGATCCCCGGCGAGGGCTAAGAGGCTACACTGCAAGTTGCTACAAATTGCTACGGATAGCTTGAAGCAAAGACCTTCGGCGAGGGCTACACTGATGCCGCGCGCTGGGTAATCCACGCTCGACTGTAAATGCGACGACTACAGACCTAGAGATGGATGAGGAGGTAGAGTGAACGAGGTGGTGGTAGGTGGACTCCTGAGTCGCACTCCTGAGTCGCACTCCGCGCCAGCCACATGGGGCTGTCCACAAAGTGCCTCGCCTTCGGGGATCGACGGAGTTGACATCTTTTCCTTGGCGGAAGGCGACCGAATCAAAACAAGGGCGGCTCCACCGGCGGAAGCTCGCGAAAGTAAAAAACAAACGCCCCCAAGGAATGTGAACACGTTTGGGTTCAGGACTTCCGAAACCGACAACGCATAGGAACGGCATGCAGCATTATTGCAGTTCACATGTTGAGCCTCACCTGTTTCAATCCACATCTCTCGCATGCTGTGTTGGCCGCACAGGCCTAGTGCTGGGTGACGGAGGGTGCAAGAGAAATGATAGGAGGGTGATGAGGTGTTGTGGTGGGGAGTTGGGAAGCTTTGCCATTGTGCGATCCTCCATGCCCTTGCAGGCTTCTCCACTTTCCCGCCTTTCTTTGCCTTTCTAGTTCCTGTTGCGCACGCACCGCTCATCTAATCGTTTTGTGTTCACGCGTGTGTTTCACTATTTCTCAGCACGAGCGTTCAGACGCAGCGACCGCTTCGATCAGTGCTGGTGCTACGTAAAGAGGAGGAGTAGGAAGAAGAGGAGGAGACAGACGACGACGAGGGCGAGGAGGAGGAGGAGGAGAAGCAGGACGAACAGGAGGACCAGGACCGCGAGGAGGAGAAGCTTTACCTTTGAGCTCCGCGCTCAGCGCCCAGGCTCTGAGCCAGCGCCAGCGCGCACCGGCAGCGGGTGATGCTGCACGCGCTTCACACTGCTTCGGGGAACCCGGGCAACCACAAATGCCGCATGGCTCCCGGCGTTGCCGCCACGTGCGGGCGGGAACTCTCGCTCGGCGTGTCGCGCCGCCGGCTTGGGCCTGCCGCGCTGGCGCAACACGCGAAGTGCGCCCCAGCCCCCAACTCTCAACGTTCCGAGCCCTTTTCCCGGCTTCTCCCCCTCCTCCGCCTCCTCCTCCCCCTCTTCGAGGAGGAGGAGGAGGAGGCGGAGGAGGAGGAGGAGGAGGGGGAGGAGGAGGAGGCGGAGCAGAGCGACGCGCTGCCGGCTTGCAGGGCGTGGCCTGTCGCAGGGGTCGCCGCTGCAGCGTGCGGACCGAGAGCTCCAAGGCCGCCAGCGGTTCCTGCAGTGCGGACTCCGGCCCCTGCCCGGGGTGCTCCGCCCCCTGCCTCGGCAGTCCGAGCGGGGCGCCCTGGCACGCCGCTGCCCGAGTGGACCCCCGCAGGGGTAAGGTTCGCAGGTGGGCACAGAAGCTGGCACGGCTGAGCAGAGCACTCGCGCCGTCACAGCCACAGGCTGTGGCATCCGTGCTCTAGCCCCGCACGGGCGGCTCTCGGCGGCGCGCCGGAGGGGGGGGGGAAGTGAGAAGTGGCGGGCCTTCTCAGAAGGCTGGGAAGTCCCCGGGCTTTCTGAGCAGCTGTCCAGGCCTTCCGCGGAGACACAGAAAACTTCTCGGAGGGCCGGAGCGCTTCTGAGGAGTCCCGCCGCCTTCTGAGAAGGCCTTCTCCTTCTCGGTTTTCCTTGGGGCCGTAGGTAAACTGAGAAGGGGCAGGAAGAGGAGGAGAAGGAGGAGGAGGAGGCGGAGGAGGGGGAAAGAGAGGAGGAGGAGGAGGAGGAGGAGGAGGAGGAGGAGGAGGAGGAGGAGGAGGAGGAGGAGAGGGAAAGGAGGAGGAGGGGAGGAGGAGGAGGAGAAGGAGGAGGAGGAGGAGGGGGAGGAGGAGGAGGAGGAGGAGGAGGAGGAGGAGGGAAGGAGGAGGAGGGGAGGAGGAGGAGGAGGAGGAGGAGACGGAGGATGAGGAGGAGGAGGAGGAGGAGGAGGAGGAGGAGGGGCAGAAGGCAGAAGCAGTGCTGGGGGAGAGCAGGGGTATCAGGGCGGACCTGCTCCAACCCCTCCTCTGCCCTCGTCCTCGTCCTCCTCCTCCTCCTCCTCCTCCTCCTCGTCGTCCTCCTCCTCCTCCTCATTGCGGGCCTGTCCCGAAGTCTTCGGTTGCAAGGGCCGATCCCAGTGCACGACTAGCCAACAAGCCCGGGCACGCACCATAGGGTTCGTTCGTTCCTCCTCCTCCTCCTCCTCCTCCTCCTCCTCCCTCTCCTCCTCCTCCTCCTCCTCCCCCTCCTTTTTTCTCCTCCTCTGCATCCTCCCCCTTCTCCTCCCCAGTCTGGCCCGCCCCCCTCCCCGTCGCCGCCGCCGCGGCCGCGCGCGGCCGCTACCGCCGCCCTCTCGTACCCGCTCACGCTGCCCATGCCCGCCGCCGCGCGGTAGCCGCCGCCGTCGCCGCTGGCCCCGCGCGCAGCCCCCGCGCGCGAGGATGGCGACGATGCTCCGCCGGTCTGGGCGGGAGGCGGCGGCGCTGGACGCGGGCCAGCTGCGGCTCGGCGCGCCAGCCGAGCGGGCGCTGGCGCTGCGACTGCCGCGCCCTCGGACGCCCGCGGGCCGCGGTCTGCCCAGAAGCGTCGCCGCCGTCGCGTCGTCGGCGGCATCGGCGCCGACGGGGACCGGAGGTTTGCGAAGGTGTTCTTGTAGTACTCGGGAGTTCTCGGTGCCCGGGGTGGTCTCCATCAGCAGCTGCGCATCGTGGGGCGTGCCCGGATCATCCCGAACGGTTGCCGGAGGCCCGACTTCTGGCACGAGAACGCCACCAGGCGCTGGCGTCGGCGTCGGTCAGAGGAGGAGAATGAGGAGGAGGAGGAGGAGGAGGAGGAGGAGGAGGAGGAGGAGGAGGAGGAGGAGGAGGAAGGGGAGGAGGAGGTGGAGGAGGAGGAGGAGGAGGACGAGGAGGAGGAGGAGGAGAAAAGGAGTTGGAGGAGGAGGAGGAGGAGGAGGAGGAGAAGGTGCCGATGCTGCTGTTCGCCTTGGAGGGAGCCCTCGTGGCCACGGCCGGGTTATCCCCAAAATTCTGGCCAGAGCGCACCCAGGAGGGGGGGGGGATATTTGCCGTACGTACCCATCGGTCGTTGAAAGTAATTAGATATTTTGTGGAGTCCTGGATTCCAATCTATTTTCAGCGCCTTCCTACTTCAACGATCGAGTGGCTTCACCTGTTTCGTCCTCGTTAGAGGGCGGGTGGACGCCCAATCTACTTTCAACGCCTTCGTACATCATGTTTCTACCTACTTCTTCCAACCGATGGGTATCGCTATCTTGTTGTCCCCCAAGTCATGGGCCACGCTGTGGTCGTCGTCGTCGTTGTCGCCGGCATCGCCGTGGGCGGAGGGCGGCGTCGGCCGTGGCGAAGTCATCGCGACGCCTGCGCTTCGTGCCGAGGCGTCGTCGCCGTCCTCGTCGTCGCTGACGCGTCGGCAGCGGCGCCATAGTCGCGTCCTCGTGGCGCCGTCGTCGTGTTCGTCTCCGTCGCGTCGTCGTCATCCTCATCGTCGTCATTTCTCTGGCAGCGCGAGGCCAGGATAACGATTGCCGCGCCCTTTGGCTTCGATCGATAGGCCGATCCTGGCCTCTCTCGATCAGTGCCCTGGTCGAAGCTGGGATCAGGATCGTGGCAAGCTCCCGCCACTCCTCTCTGGCCTCCTCCCTCCCTCTCCTCACCCTCTTCTTCCTCACAGTCGTCCTCCTCCTCGTCGTTTGGAGGAGTTGCTTCGTGAACTCGCCTCATCCCGGCTCCCTGCGCGCGAGGCAATGCGGAGGCTAGCTCCGCCCCCTGACACAGCTGCCAGAATCTGCGGGCTTGCCCGAGGCCTGCGAGAGCGCCGGCGCCGAATCGGGAGGTCCTCGCACCTTCGGCCCCCAGGCCCCCCAAGAGGGCCCCGGAGGGAGAGGGTGGAGGGCAGCGGAGGGGCGGCACCCGGAGGGGGGCGGAAGGAGGGGAGGGGGCCGGAGGGGAAAGAGGGGAGGCAACCTCAGGGGAGGGTGGGCTCAGGGTGGGATGCGCCGGGCCCCATCGCCCATGGCGGCGCCGATAGGGGACCGATGGCCCACCCAGCCCAGGGACGTGCGGCTTGGCTATCGGGGGCTAGTCGCCGATCTACGGGCGATGCATCGCCGACTGCAGCTCGATGTGTTCTCCCCCTGAGCCGCTCCCCCCTAGCGTTGCTCCTCGGGGGGGCGGGGGCGGGGAAGGGAAAGAGTCGAGGGAGAGGAGAGGTGGGCGGCGAGCAATGGGACTGAGTGCGGGACAGCAGGGGGCGCGACATGTTCAAATTCCCGATCAACCGCAGAGCGGCGCATTTAGTAATTGGCTCTCATCCACCAGCTGCTCCTGCTTATCCTCCCCCCCTCTTCTCCCTGCTTCTATCCCCCTCCTCCTCCTCCTCCTCCTCCTCCTCCTCCTCCTCCTCCTCCCTCCTCCTCCTCCTCCTCCTCCTCCTCCCCTCCTCCTCCTCCTCCTCCTCCTCCTCCTCCTCCTCCTCCTCCTCCTCCTCCCCTCCCCCTCCCGCCACTGTACCTCCTCAATCCCTCTTGCTCCCTTCTTCCGCCACGTCTCCACCTCGTCCTGCTCCACAGTCCCAGCCTTCTCATCCTCCCCTCCCCCTTCGCCCCCCCTACTACCCTCCACTCCCCCCCACCTTCTCCCCGCCCCACCTCCCTGCATGGTGGAGGAGGGCTGTCAGGCTTCTGACAGGGCCACGATGTGGTGAATGGCCGGGCCTACGCTGTTTCCGTCTGACACCCAGGAGGCGCTTTCGCTGGGGGACCGATGCCCTCAGCGGGCGCAAAAGAGCCCTCTCCAGCGCCCAACCTTAAGGGCGGAGGGGCGGCGATTCAGGACTACACACGCTTCGGGCCCGAGCCGACGTGGCAGTCTGCACGGCCGCAGGCTTTCCTGCGCAGTGGGAACGAGAGGGTGAGGAGGACGAGGAGGAGGAGGATGAGGAAGATGAAGATGATGATGAAGAAGATGATGATGATGATGATGATGATGATGATGGTGATGGTGATGATGATGATGATGATGATGATGATGATGATGATGATGATGATGATGATGGTGATGGTGGTGATGATGATGACGATGATGACGATGATGACGATGATGACGATGCTGACGATGCTGATGCTGATGATGCTGATGCTGATGAAGATGGTGTTGATGGTGGTGATGATGATGATGGTGGTGGTGATGATGATGAGGATGCTGATGATGAGGATGTTGCTGCTGTTGATGATGAAGAGATGATGAGGATGAGGATGAGGATGAGGATGAGGATAATGGTGATGATGATGATGATGATGATGATGATGATGATGATGATGATGATGATGATGATGATGATGATGATGATGATGGTGGTGGTGATGATGATGATGATGGTGATGGTGATGGTGATGATGATGACAATGATGATGGTGATGATCATGACGATGATGCTGATGATGGTGGTGATGATGATGATGCTCATGCTCATGAGGAGAAGGAGGCGGAGGAGGAGGAGGAGGAGGAGGAAGAGGGGAAGGAGCAGGAGCAGGAGGAGCAGGTGGAGCAGGAGGAGCAGGAGTAGGAGCAGGAGGAGCAGGAGGGGGCGCGGGGGGTGCGGTGTCCTCCCCCCGAACTCTGGCCCAGCGAGCCCGGCCCCAGATGGCGACCTTCGCCGCCGCCCGCCGCTGTTCCGTTTCACCCTGCCCTTCTTCCTCCTCTGCCTTCTCCGCCTGATCCTGCCCCCCCTCCCTCTGCTTCCTCCTCCTCCTCCTCTGCCCTCTCCACCTGATCCTGCCCCCCCCCTCTGCTTCCTCCTCTCTCTTCCTCCTCTGCCCTTCTCCACCTGATCTTGCCCCCCCCCCCCCCCTCTCCTCGTCCTCCGCCCCCTCCTCCTGATCTGCAGAATTGCCGCCGCCGGCCCTGCCTGTCCGCGCGCCAGCGAGAGGGTGGGCTTCGCCGGGAGGTCCAGCATCTGGTTGTTGGCGTTGCCTGTTTCTCCTGCTCCTCGTCCGCCATCGGCTCCGTGGGTTGGTGCTCGTTTGTCTCGTCCACGGCTGCCGCTCCCTCTTGCCCACTGCGGGCGCACATCGAAGCTTGACAATGGCGAATGGTGGAGGTTGGTGTGGCAGGAGTGACCGAGGTAGGTGTGCACACGAATGTCTGAACGCGCCGCCTTTGTACAAGTCAAGATGAATGCAGATTGAACACTGTGATGTGTGCGGCGTCGGGGTTGTCTGATTATTCCTCGTGTCCGCGTTTCAGATTCCTCGGAACACACTTCTGGCCAGATGTGTCCACGCCGTACCTTTTCCAGGGTACCTTCACCGAGCATTTCCCAACCATCTTGTGGTGCCGGGTCCTCGTTTTGAAAAGACAGCGCCCCGCGTAGCCTTCTTGTCCTTTCCTCCTCTCCTTCATCCTTCCTCGCATCCCTACCTCTGCCCTCTGCATGTCAACCATGTCGACGCAACCCTCACGCGTTTCGTGGCCCCCTACCGAAGGCCCCAGTGGCCGCGACTGCATGCGCCCCCCCCCGCCCAGTGCATCGGTTCGTGGCCCCATAGTGAGCTCCACCGATGACCCCAGTGGCCGCGGCCGCATGCGGCTCCCCCACCCATTGCAGGACCCCCCTCGCGCGCTTCCCCCCCACACCACGCAAGCTGACAGGCCGCGGCAGGGGGAGGAGGGGCTCGGCCTAGGGCAAGGGCAGGGGGAAGCAGGCCAGAGGGCATCCGTGAAGAGCGGATGCCGCCTCACCCGCAGACCCCCGCGCTGGAACTCGGCCAGGCAGCGCGATCGGTCGAGCCTCCTCCGGATTCTGCCAGCCGCCGAGGCTGCGCTTCCCGGAGGTCTTGGCCCAGGCGCGCGTTGGGGCGGGACGGGGGGGTCGCGGGCAGTGCATGGCAGGGCGGGGCAGGGCAGGGCAGGGCAGCTGTCGTTGCTCCCTTCCTCCTCCTCCACCTCCTCCTCCTCCTCCAGCTCATTCTCCCGATGGCACGTGCCCTCCTCCTCCTCCTCCTCCTCCTCCTCCTCCTCCTCCTCCTCCTCCTCCTCCTTCTCCTCCTCCGCCTTCTCCTCCTCCTCCTCCTCCTCATGCTCCTCCTTTCCTTCTCCCGTTTCGGCGTGCTCGGATTCGATTTGGTCGTGCCTCCTCCTCCTCCTCCTCCTCCTCCTCCTCCGCCTCCTCCTCATCCTCCGCCGCCTCCTCCTCCACCCCGTAGTCTGACACGCGCGTTGTCTTTCGCACGTCGTTCGCTGATTTCGCAAAGGCTTAGTTGGCATTCGCGTCAGCAGTAACGCGCTGATGGGATCGTACGACCTGTGTGACGTTGATACTGTTTCTGTTCCCTGGGAGCACGCACAAAGGAGGAGGCGGAGAGGTGGGGAAAGTGGACTAGCATCCCAGCCGCCCGAAATCGACCGCCGCCTCGCCACAGATCGGTCGGCGGCGAGCGAAGGCGGGAAGTGGGAAGTAGACGGCTTTCTCAGAAGGCGGCGGGGCTTCTCAGAAGCTGTCTGGTTTTCTGAGAGACCTTCTGCATCCCTGGGGAAGGCTCAGAAATTATCCCGGCAAAGCAACCTAACAACGATGTGTAGGAGCATATTTGGAAGCATCCCCCTTAAGATTCAGATGAGAATCCAGTTGTAGAATTATGCTGTTCTCGCAGTCGTAGTCGCATTCGCGATGACAGTCGCAGCGGCAACGGCAGTCGCAGTCACAGCCTCAGCCTGCCTCAGCCTCAGCCTCAGCCTCAGCCTCAGCCTGCCTCAGCCTCAGCCTCATCAGCCTCAGCCTCAGCCTGCTTCAGGCATCAGTCTGCCTTCAGCCTCAGGCCTCAGCCTCAGCCTGCCTCAGCCTCAGCCTCAGCCTCAGCCTCAGCCTCAGCCTCAGCCTCAGCCTCAGCCTCAGCCTCAGCCTGCCTCAGCCTCAGCCTCAGCCTCAGCCTCAGCCTCAGCCTCAGCCTGCCTTCAGCCTCAGCCTCAGCCTCAGCCTGCCTTCAGCCTGCCTCAGCCTCAGCCTCAGCCTGCCTCAGCCTCAGCCTGCATCAGCCTCAGCCTCAGCCTCAGCCTCAGCCTCAGCCTGCCTCAGCCTCAGCCTCAGCCTGCCTCAGCCTCTGCCTCAGCCTCAGCCTCAGCCTGCCTTCAGCCTCAGCCTCAGCCTGCCTCAGCCTCAGCCTTCAGCCTCAGCCTCAGCCTCAGCCTCAGCATCAGCCTGCCTCAGCCTCAGCCTCAGCCTCAGCCTCAGCCTCAGCCTGCTTCAGCCTCAGCCTCAGTCTGCCTTCAGCCTCGGCCTCAGCCTCAGCCTGCCTCAGCCTCAGCCTGCATCAGCCTCAGCCTCAGCCTCAGCCTGCCTCAGCATCAGCCTGCCTCAGCCTCAGCCTCAGCCTGCCTCAGCCTCAGCCTCAGCCTGCTTCAGCCTCAGCCTCAGTCTGCCTTCAGCCTCGGCCTCAGCCTCAGCCTGCCTCAGCCTCAGCCTGCATCAGCCTCAGCCTCAGCCTCAGCCTGCCTCAGCATCAGCCTGCCTCAGCCTCAGCCTCAGCCTGCCTCAGCCTCAGCCTCAGCCTGCTTCAGCCTCAGCCTCAGTCTGCCTTCAGCCTCGGCCTCAGCCTCAGCCTGCCTCAGCCTCAGCCTGCATCAGCCTCAGCCTCAGCCTCAGCCTGCCTCAGCATCAGCCTGCCTCAGCCTCAGCCTCAGCCTGCCTCAGCCTCAGCCTCAGCCTGCTTCAGCCTCAGCCTCAGTCTGCCTTCAGCCTCGGCCTCAGCCTCAGCCTGCCTCAGCCTCAGCCTGCCTCAGCCTCAGCATCAGCCTGCCTCAGCATTCAAAATGTGGCCCGGGAATGGAGTTCTGGGAATTCGAAGAACACGAAGTGGCCTACAGTTGGCTCCGGGCATTCAAAATCATGCGCAGGAATGGAGTTCTGGGAACTCGAAGAACACGAAGTGGCCTACAGTTGGCTCGGGCATTCAAAATCATGCCCAGGAATGGAGTTCTGGGAATTCGAAGGCCACGAAGTGGCCTACAGCTGGCTCCGGGCATTCAAAATCATGCTCAGGAATGGAGTTTTGGGAACTCGGAGACCACGAAGTGGCCTACAGCTGGCTCCGGGCATTCAAAATCATGCCCAGGAATGGAGTTCTGGGAACTCGAAGACCACGAAGTGCGCTACTGCTGACTAAAAAAATAGCCCCCCGGTTTTCTGGAGCACCCTGTCCGGATCCTGCCCAGACCCCCCTGGGGAGCCATGATGCTTTCTTTTGACCTTACTAGAAACCTATCAGTCTTCGCTGTTAGGTAATTTCCATAGAAGGCTGGAGGACTCCCGAGCCTTCTGAAACGGCCCGCCCCCTCTCGTCGTCGTCCTCGTCCTCTGCCCTCTTCCCCCCGCGCTGGCCGCCGAACAGACGTCGCCTCGCCCAGCCCGCTGAGGCCCCTGGCCTCGGCATCGCTCGGAGGTGTGCACCTTCCCCGGCGAGGACCCTCGCGGAGCCTCTCGGATCCTCGCAGCGATGGCAGGTGGCCGTGCCGCCGCCTCGCGGACGCCGCCCTCCTCTGGCCCTCGGGCCCTGGCCGCCGTGCCGGCACCGCGGGCGCGGCAGCAGGCCGCCCGGCGCCCGCTGCGAGGGCTCCCCGCCCTGCGGCGCGCTGGGGCCGCGGCTGCCGCGCCCGCGGGCGTGCGCTGCGCCTACCGCTGCGCCCTTCCTCCTGCTCGCCCTTCCCTCCTGCTCGCCCTCGGGGGCCTCCCGGGAGGCCATCATCGCCCTGTGTCCCTCGTGTTCGCCCTGGGGGGCCTCCCGGGAGGTCCTCGTCGCCCCGTGTCCCTCGAGTTCGCCTCCCTGGGCCTCCTGGGAGGCCCTCGTCGCCACCGGCCGGGCTCGCCTCGAAGTGCTGGTCCGAGCGCACCCCGGGAGGAGTCCGGGGAGCAGCGGCACCGGCACCTGCTGGCTTCCCCGATCCCCGCCCCGCGGCGTCGAGGACGCCCGCGGCGCGGGCACGCCGGACTCCTGCCGGGCGGGGAGGGGCAGCCGAGCCGAGCTCTCGGCCGCGGGCTGCGAGCAGGCGCGTGCTCGCTGCCCGGTGCGGGGCCCGCGGGGCCGCCAGGCAGGGCGATGCCGAGGAGAGGCCGCGTCGGTCTTCGGCGCCGGAGGGCGTTGCTCCTCGCGGTGTCGGGGCCCAGGGCCCGCAACCGGTCGCGTCTCACTCTCACTCGCTGGTTGTTTATGTTTTCTCTCTTTGTTTGTCTCTCTCTCTCTCTCCTTCTCTTTCTCTCTCTCTCTCTTTTTCACTCTCCCTTTCACTCTCTCTCACTCTCATCACTATCTCTCCCAGTCTCGCACAGTCACTCACTCACTCACTTACTCACACACTCACTCACACACTCGCTTGCTCACTCACTCACTCACTCACTCACCCACCCACCCACCCACCCACCCACCCACCCACCCCTCCTCCTCCTCCTCCTCCTCCTCCGTAGCCCTTGTGGCTCAAGTTGTCATCTTCTCGAGGTGGTGCAGTGACCCGCGCCTTTTTGCAGACTCGGCCCGCGACACAAGGGTCTGCATCTTGGCTTCCATTTGTGGCGGTGAGCTCCTGGAGGAGCACCCTCCCGCTTTCGTTCCGCTTTTCTCACCCTCCAGCTTTCACGGTTGCTTGCGGCCACCCGCCTGACCGCAATGGAGGCACAACTCGCTCAGCTGCTCGCTCAGATGACGAACATGACCGCTGACATCGGTCACGCGAAGGCCGCCGTTGGAGGCATCGCCGAGATCAAGACGACACTGCATGCCCACGACGCCAAGTTTGTCGAGATGCAACAGCAGATCGACGAGGCTAACAAGAACGCGATGGTTGCCCTCCACAAGGCGCAGCACACAGGCCTGGACCGGCAGCTCGAAGCTCGTCTACTTCAGCTCGAATCCTCGACAGCGAGGATGCAGTCTTCATCCGCCTCCGTGAACTCAGACAGGAGCAAGAGGAGCCGGGTCGGCACGGGCTCGACAGGCTCTACGGTTGCCAGCAGCGACGGCTTCCACCAGGGACGTGCTGACGCTGATTGTGATCGTACAAAGGTGTGGATCGGAGGGCTCACGCGCAAGATGCTCGCCTCATCCACGTCGCAGTTCGCCAACACCGTCCTGACCACGCTGCCCACGCACGAGCGGTTCTTGGTGCATATCAAAGCCTACAACCTGAACAAGAGCTCCTCGATGAAGTTCAGCTCGGTCGACCAGGCCAGCGAGTTCGTCCAGCGTTCGCGCGGCAACCCTCAGATGTTGATGTACACCGACCCCGTCACGAACGAGAAGTTATTCTTGCGAGCGCGTGTGGATGCTCCTCATGATGTGCGCCCCCGCAATAAGATCCTGGGCTCGCTGTGGCAGTCCACGATTACCTTCATGAAAGGCAATGGCACATGGACTGACAAGATGAAACTCGAATCCAACGGGTTTCGCGGCATTCTCTTCCTCATCGACGGCGAAGCTGTGCAAGACCTGTACGTTGTCAGCGAGGACGCCTCGGATAACGTTGCCACCGTCCCCGCCCTGGCAGCGCTCGAGAAGGTCGGGTTCACCGAGGCCGACGTGACGACCGCCACGGACATTACCAGGCCCATCAAGCGCTAGGAAATTGACACACTGCATGAGCTGGACGCGAGTAAGGCCAGCGCCCATTTTTGCCCGTGCACGGCTGCAGCTGCCTCGCCGCCTGTCCTCCTCTCCCCCCCTCGTCCTCTTTCGTGTTCGGCGTGCTCTTCCTCTTCTTCCTGCTCTTCTTCGTCTTCCAGCTCGTCGCGATCGCATTCGCTGTCCCCGAGCATTTCGCGTGCCCCACCGTCTTCTATTTCCTGCTATCCGTTTCGAATGATAGAACAAATCTCAATGGTTACTTGGAACCCTTTTCACGCTGTTTGCCTCTGCGCATGCTGATCACACTCGTCAAACACGCACGGTGAAACTATTCAACAGGTTGTCGAAACAATTCGACATCGTTTGCCTCCAGGAATGCCACGGACAGCAGGGAGATCTTGACCTTTTCCTACGTGAGCGAGCGCGAAGGCGCTCGAGCGCACGGCACTTTCTGTTCCTCTTCCTCCGCTGGCGGCAATGCTATCTTCATCTCCCCGTCCCTCTGCAAGCACTTCGAGAGTTTCGACCACGCAGAGCTGGTCGCGGGCAGGCTGCGCAGTCTTACCCTCCGAGGACCCTCCACCTCGCTCCCGACATTCCCGAACCTCAAAAGCGGCGGACCCTGAACATAATAAAGAGTGTCATGCTGTGCCCCACTGTATGCCCCTCGTTTTTGTTAGGGGATTTCAATTTCCAGCCCGTCGGCGAGGGCGGGGGCGACCTTTCAGGAACCGTCCATCGCGCTGACTCACCGCTCGCCCCCCACTTTCAAGCTGTTCTGGGCAGCCTGGCGGAAGTCCAGCAGATGCAGCGCGCGCACCTCGGCCACATAGGAGACCAGAAATCCCTGGGAAGAAACGACCGTATCTACATGAATCTGTTTTCCGCTCACATCCTGGACCTGAACCCTCGGAGTTTCACGATCGGTTCTGCCCTGGACCCCAAGAACCCCATCGGACCACGCCCCCGTCGCTGTTATCCCGGCGTCTGCCAAGCCCCCCGAGGTCCCGAGGATTCCGCGATGTGCCACAAGGGACCCGCTCTACCTTCAACACGTGGCTGAAGCGATCGAGGAAATAGGTGAAGCCAGTCTTTCTCAGAATGTTTATCAACGCGAGCTCGAATTTAAAGATATCTCTCGCGCTGCCGCACGGCGCGTTATGGATGCGGCCTACCAGTGCGAAGCCGCCTCCCCCGCTGAAAAGGCCTCGTGGGCCCCCACGGTCGTCAGGGGCACGGCCGCTGGTAACGTCCCCAAAATCGTGCTTGCACTCCGCGTCTTCCCCGCACTCGCCGCCAAATTCGCAAACGCGACTGACTGCGCTTGGCTCGACGAGGCTGGCTTCCACGCTTTCCTCGGCTCCATCTCCACGGCTCTCATCGACGCTGGCATTGCAGAGATCGATCAAGGTTCGCCCCCTCCCGCCCACAAGCTCGCCAAGAAACAAAACATGATGCAGTATTGCTCGGTGTGGAGCACCAGCATTCGCCAGATCCCTTTGACGGGCATCCTGGACAGCTCGGGCCGGTGCGAAACGGGTCCGAATGTTGCCGCGGAGAGGCTTGCCAAGCACTGGGGGCCCGCCCATGCGCCCGTCGCGGTCGACGAGGCCGCCGTGGAGCGGATCAAGCCGTTCACCCAACCAGCGCCTAGGGTCGTGTTCTGGAAATTCGAGCAGCTTGAATTTGAAGAAATGCTACGCCGACTGCGCGACACAGGCGCTGGCCCAGATGGGCTGCCATACTCGGCTCGGACTCGTGCGGGTCCAGCGGCGATCCAGATGCTTTATGAGCTTTACGTCGACGTCGTCAATTTCGGGAAGCCCCCTGATGGCTTCAATCATTCCCTGGGCGTCTTCCTTCCCAAAGGTACCCATGAAACTGACGACGAAATTGTTCAGCGTCTCCCCGAAGACACCCGCCCCCTCTGCCTCAGCAACACAGACAACAAAAGCATTGCCCTCGCCATCAATCGCCCTGTCAGTCGCATATGTCAAGAAGTATGTCACGAGCGCCAGCGTGGCTTTATCGCTGGACGCGATATGCTGTCCAATATCCTCGAGTTGGAAACTCGAGCTGTCTCTTGGTGGTGCCAGCTAGGCGCAGACAAGACGGGATGCACCTTTTTCGACATTCGCGCCGCGTTCCCGCCCGCGCTGCACGCATTCATTTTCATTATTTTGAAGACCATGGGCTTTCCCGAAGATATGTTGCACGCGATCGCTGAACTCTACCGAGACATCAAAGTGCAAATATCGCTGCGCGGGCCGCGACAAGCTTTTTTTCCGAGTTCTCCGAGGGGTGAAACAGGGTTGCCCTCTGAGTGGTTCGATATTCTGTTTCGTTTTCGACCCGTTTATTCGCATGATGGTCTCAAGGTTGCCCAGGGATGAAGCTTGTCTTGCGGTGTTTGCAGATGATACTGGCCTCGCCGCACAGGACATCTACGCCTGTCTCTTCCTCGTTCTACAAGTGTTTCGGCTTGCTGCGCGTGCTG